TGGTGGTGGTTGTGGTGATGGTGGTGGTGATGTCTGTGGTGATGGTGGTGGTGGTAGTTGTAATGGTGGTGGTGCTGGTTGTGATAATGATGGTGGTGATGGTGTTAGTGGTGGTGGTAATGGTGGTGATGATGATGGTGGCGATAATGACAATAGCTAGCACCTCCTGGGCACTCCCCACACCTCAAGCTCTATTCTAAGTGATTAAATACATCACCCAACCTTACGCCATCTTCGTAGTACCCTCTGAGGGCAGGTCTCATGATTACCTCTGTCCAATGAAAGACACGGAGGCTCAGGAAGTGTAAGTGGCTTCCCTTGAGTCACACAGTAAGTAAGTGGCAGGGACAAAACAGGAACCTGGAGCCAGGCTTTGGATTGTAGTAATGTCGGGAGAGGTAAGACTCAAATGCAGCAGAGCCAATGCTCTCACGGAGCCCTGGGGACCCTGCCATGTCTCAGCAATTGTCTTGTGGGTGCCCTGGGAGACCTGCTGCAGGATTACAGGCCAGACCGCCCCTCGGCATGGGCGTGAGCTTTCTTTGCGCATGCATGCATTCACAAAGCCCTGCAGTGACCACACAGTTAGTGGCTGCAGCTGGACTTGCGTGAGTCCTGACCTTGGCTGATTGCTCATGAGGACTTGGCTCTGACCAATCTGTTCTGCAGTCTTCAGGACACTGCTACTCGTGAGCTTTCTCTCGGGTGCAGGAAGTCTCTTCTCCCACATGGATAATTTTCCAACCAGGAAAGGCATTCTGGCCGAGAGGAATCCTTCCCCAGAGGGAGGTTTTCCTGCAGAGGGGATGGTGCAGGAGGGTGGGTCTGGTTTTGGACAACATTCTCTTCACTTGTAGGAAGTGGGGTCCCCATTGGGCTCCCCAGAATCCCATGCAATGTGTTGATGACTGGCAGGGAGACGACCCAGGTGACCAGGTGGGAACACACAAACAGAGGAAGCATGTGCTGCATGAAAATACAGGATGCAGGCAGTGTTAGCCCCACAGCGTGACCAGCCCTGAGTCTGAGGACAAGGCCAGGAAGTGACTCCTGCATGCCTCAGGATCTGAGCTTTCTGAAACAACACACGGAGGTGAGTTCAGGGCCAGTGCTGTGTACGTGGCACTGTGAACACCATTTCCCGGCTAGAAAGAGGGACCTCCTTGGTCAAGCAGGAAACCACCACCAGAGAATGTTGACTAACAGATGAGGGTGTTTTGTCAACGGTAAATCCAGGCCATGTGACATTCACTGATTAGCCCAGCAAATGACAACAAGCATCGAGGCAGCTGACGACATCACAAGGAAACCGGAACACTGATGTTGCTGTGCCAACTAGGGATGTTGAGGAAGGATGCGGAGCAAAGGTCAGCTCAGCCTCCTAGAACATGCCAGCAACCTCTTGGGAGAGCACAAGCTGCCTCGGCCTCTCAGGTCCGAGTGAAGGCCCCAGACAGGCAAACTCTTCTGTCAGCTTGGGAGTACCTGTTTTATTCATTCTGCACTCAGTCAGCCAGTGTTTATTGGACATCTATTGTGCACTGGGTCCTTTGGCAAAAGGTATGATTACAACTGCACAATCAAAGAGCTGTACACGGTGTTATAAGGGCCTGTAATCGGGATAGAGAAGATAGAGAAGCAGCTCTATAAGGGCCCATGGTGAAGATGAATGAACCAACCTGGTAAAATCAAGGAAGTACTGATAATTAAGTTGGGCTTGAAAGAATCAACAGACTTTAGCTAGGGGAAGAAGCAGGAGCAGTAACTCAGGCATGAGACACAGTCTGTACAGGCTCCAGCACGGGACAGAGAAGAGCAGACATATGTGTCCATCAGATTTTGCTGGGTAATAAGTTGTTCTGAAACTCAGTATCTTAAAGCAACAGACCTGCTTTTAGTCCTCAGTACTGAGTCTGAAACCTGGCTAGACTCAGGTTATATAACTATCTGCCCATAACTATCGAGACCAGACTGGGGGTGATATTAACTAGGGCTCCTGAGCCCCCAGCCTGTGGCCTTAAACTCTCTGACAAGTCACCCTGGGCCTTACTTCATACAGTGGAAGAGGTGGTCTCTTTCTTATCCCTGCAGTTGTTCTCATTCTATTGGCCAAAGCAAGGCACCTGGATAAGCCCAAAACGGGTATGAGCAGACACGGCTCATCCCAGTGGGTAGAGGAAGGCATGAGCAAGTGGACTGCTGTGGTTGCAGAACTCTACCCCAGAAGGTTCAAGGGCTGAAATAAATATGGAGACGAGAGAGAGTCCAGCCCAAGAAGGGCAGAAGCTGGAATGTTCATGGCTGTGGAGAACAGTGTGAGAATCCGGTCTTGTCCTAAATGCAAAAAGCTTTCTTATTTCAGTGTCATGGGTTTGATCACACACACACACACACACACACACACACACAAAATCTACTGCATGGCTGAGCTAGTACTATGCTTGTCTAACAGGCGTGGAGTCCTGGGTTTCATCCCCAACCTCCCATAATGCCATGTGTAACAACACAAGCCCACAATCCCACCACTCGGGAGGTGGAGGATCAGCAATCAAAGTCATCCTTGGCTACCTGTGGCCTTTGACGCCAGCCCGGACTACATGAGATTCTGGGGGATCGAGGGGAGGACTCCCTGAAGGTTAGTTAACATCCATGGTGGAGCGGCAAAGTTTGCAAGCTTGAGAAGATGAGAGTTCAGCCCCCACACACCTGATGCAGCCCATCCCAGTATAACAGCCCGGGCCTCCCAGCCACACTTTGGCAAGTGCTTCTCTCCTAGCTAGAGCGGCCTTCTCATTCCTGAAAGGTCGGTTCCTTCCTCCCTAAGACCCAATTCAGGAACTGCCACCCTAAAATGTCCCTGACTCGTGTAATCCCTAAGAACAAGAGCACAAAAGAGTGAGATATTTAGGCCAACGAATGAGCCTGTGGTCATCATGGCAAACCTGAGATTTCAAAGTCAATATGGTGCCTAACTCTTCCTATGGCTCAACCTATGGGTTATCATTACCAAGGCCATGCCATCACTGGGGAGTGGTTCTTGAAATAATGCTTACACTCCTAGAGCCTGCTTGTAAAAAGAGGCAGAAATGCAGGGATGAAAAAAAAAATGCAAGGATGTACTGAATACATTCAGAAGTGGATGATCCCATTGACAAAGAGCCTTCTCCCAAAGCCCCAGGCAGCCTTGAATAAGCCTTCTGACATGGCAGAGCTTCCTTCCAGCTGAAGGAATTGCTGGTGTCTCCTAATCCCAACAGAAAGCCCCTCACTGAAGAAGAGAGGCTACAGCTCAGGTTGGTCAGAGCAGAGCTACGTGGGTGCTTGGGAAAATGTCTCAAGTGTTTACTGTACAAGCACAAGGACCTGAGTTCAAGTCTCAGAATGCACATTTTACAAAGCCAGGCAGGGTGCTGTGTGCTTGTACTCCAGGCACTGCAGCTCACTGGCCAGGCAGCCTAGCCAGAGAGCCCAGCCTAGCCTAGTCAGAGACCCTGTCTCAGAAAACAAGGTGCATGTCTCCCAAGTAACCTCTGGCCTCCACACCAAGCACACACATGTATCCAAACAAATACACATGTGTTAGTCTGCTTTTCTAGGGAATGGACCATCTAGCAGTGGTCCTGGTCAAAGCCAGCCTTCTCTGGTATTAGAATAGCCAACTAGTGACCACAAATGATGTGCCGTGAAGTCAAGTGACCTCATAACTTCTTTCCCACAGTGTGGGTATAACTCCTATAAACCAGAAAGCAGAGAAAAGCCCAGGCCCAGCCCACCAGTCCTGGCAGACGTTGCCAGACCAGCTTTTGATACTGACCATATTGTCTCTTCTTCTACAGAAGAAACCTAAGTCCCAGGGAGAGCCACCCTGGATTTACCTGCCACTTTCAAAGTGCGAGCCACTCAGGTGGAAGACCCAGCCCTATGTTGCACCTAGCTATGTCCACACACCAGGAATGGAAGGGGAAGGGCTATAATTTTGGGATTGCACTCATGCAAGCAGAAGTGTATCTATGCCTTAGTTTTTTTGTTTGTTTGTTCGTTTGTTTGTTTGTTTGTTTGTTTGTTTGTTTTTTCTCCTTCCTGCAGCTTGGAAAGCCTTTAGACCATACAGCAAAAAACAATGCCTTAGGAAGATGGAGTTTGTCAACAAAGTTAGAGCCAGAGCCTATAATATCTGGACACTTGACCTGAGACACCATCCAGACCTTTGTGGTGAGTGAGAATGAAAGAAAATGGGCCAGCTTGTCACCTCTTGCACCTTAGGGTGGTTACCACTGAAATGGAGGGGAAGAGGGAGAGTTGAATCATGCAGGGTGATTGGAACCTTGAATAGTATAGCAATATGAAATAGTAGAGAGGCTGGAGAGACGGCTCAGTTGGTAAAATGTTTCCCACACAAGCATGAGGACTTGAGTTAAAAATCCCAACACCCACATAACAATCTAGGTGTACTGTTTGTGCACCTGTAACCTCAGGTGTAGTCTATGTGAACCTTTATCCCCAGGTGTAGCCTATAAGCACCTGAAACCCCAGTGCCGTGGGAAAAGGAAAAGAGAGGACTGATGTGGTTTGCTGGCTGTTGGCCACAAGCTCCTGGCTCAGGAAGAAACCCTGCCTCAAAGAAATAACGTTGAGTGACAAAGGATACCTGACACCTTCCTCTGGCCTCCTTGCACACCTGCACACAGGTACACAACCCACATGCAGAAATGTATAATCCGCACAGGAAAATAATAATATAATAAAATAGCATGGGCACTATAGAAAACAGAGCAGATCTTAAAAGAATTAAGAATCATTACCAGAGGATCCAACAACTATACCTCTGAGTATGCTCCCGGTTCCTAGCGTTATTCACAGCAGTTGAAACATGGATGTGACCGAAGGCTCGCTGAAGGGTAAACAGCTAAAATGTGTCAGACACTGGCCTTAAAGGGGGAGAATAAGGTGATGAACCTTAAGGAAATAAGCCAGCCACCGAAAGACAAATGTTGCATGATTCCATTTATATAGATAGCATCATCACACTAGTCAGAAACATACAGATGAAAGTGAGATGGTTGCCAGGGGCTGTGGGAGAGATGGGAGTGGGTTGTTTTGAAGGAACAGACTTTGAGTTTTACCAGATGAAAAGTTTTGGAGGAGGGTGGTGGGCATGATGGCACACTCTAGAGTATTTAATGAGGTGTACTCTTCAAAACAGTTCTGAAGAAGGAAGCTGGAGAGATGAGTCGGTGGTTAAAAGCACTGACTGTTCTTCCAGAGGACCAAGGTTTAATTCCCAGTGCTCACATGGAGGCTCACAACTAACTGTAACTCCAGATCCAGGGGATCCAAGTTTTGGCTTCCACATGTACCAGGCATGCACATAGTGCCCAGACATACAGGCAGCCAAAACTCCATATACAGAAAATGACGATGATGGCGGCAAATGACTGGAGTTCAAGGTTTAAATTTTCATGGTAAATTTTCTGTTATGTAACTGGAGCTTAGAGATGTCAGCTTGGGACCAATTTCTGCTGGGAGAAGGGATTCACTCCTGGGCCACGTGCTCTAACCCATCAGAGGAGCCAGTTTCTTTTTAGTTCTTAAATCATGGTAAAAACATACCATTTAATTTTTTTTTTAGTAACTTTCATGTTATGTATGTTTCTTGGGGTGAGGACTGGGGGAGCTTCTCAGAAGAGCCTGCTAGCTGGCCAGGGAAAGATGGTGAGTAAGCACAACACACACCCCACTGCTGTGTATACCAGGAAACTCAGCGGACTCCTTAGACACCGAACTGTTTCCAGGCAGCTTGAGGAGCAGCCCCTGCCCCGAGCCACCTGCATGTAGGATGCCCCTTCTCCCCTGCTTCCCTGGCCCCAGACCCCCTAACTAAAGGAGGAAGCCCTGGTACAGCAGGATGGGGGTCTCCGGGCCAGATTCTTACCTCATGCTGAATCCCAAAGCCACAGCTCTCGTTAAATACTTTGAGCACCGTGGCGGGAAGGTACCATCCATCTCAGCCAATAAGAAGGGAACAAAATTGAAAGCCCCAAGCAAGTATGGAGGGTGGCCAAAGATCTGGAAGGTGGGAGCTAGAAGGATTAGAAAGAGACAGTTGGAGGTTCCCGGGTGAAGTGGGAGGGGAAGTTGTAGATCATATCAAGATAGATCATTTATAAAGAATTTTAAAAGGATATTCTAGGTTTTTTTTTTTAATATAGTTCTGAATTGCAGGTTTGTCCATTTCATTCCCACTATTCCTTCTTTATCTTGTCTCCAAAGCCAGAAATATCCAGAGCCCATTGTCTATCATTCAGAAGGTCCCCCAAATCACACTCAGACAGTACTGCACATTTTTATTTACAGAAAACACAAAGCATTTCAATTTTCATTTAGCAAACTGATCCACATTTTTTGTCTTTTTTTTTTTTTTTTTTGGCACAAAGAAATATCACAGAGGGACCCCAAGATCAATCGGAAACGTCTAAGATTCATTAGCCATCCAGGGTTAGCCACAAGACTCAGACAGACAAGCTCACCACAAACCAAACAGAAAGAAAGTAGTCCCAGTTCACCTCACAGTAAAACCCTGCTCACCACCAGGCAAGGGTGCGCAGGAGGGACAGGTGCCCTGCTCCAGAGGAGGGAGCGCCTGTCTAGGGCGGGGGAGCAGGGATGGGGAGGGGCGGGCCCTTTCCCTAACCTGGGAGAGGTGGTCCCTTTGTGTCCATCCTCCTACCTTGAGGAGACAATTGCAAAAACTAGAAGTTGTGTGCCGGGCCGCCTCTCCTCGTGTGCCTTTGCGCACGCGTGAACGTGTGAGCGGGTGCCTGTAAACATTGGCCCCATCCGAATAGAGACCCAACGTCCTTGTGTCTGAACGGGGTGGGGGGGCATAAGCCATATCACGTGCCCTCTGCCCCAGTGATTCCCCTCCAGAGACATAGTGCAAATTTCAGGGGCAAAAAGGGGCAGGGGGAAGGGGAACGGGCAAGAGCAGGAAGGACACACAGCTGGTGTGGGAGGGACAAAAGGAAGGGGAGCGGGTAGGGCATGGGAAGGACACACAGACAGAGTGGGAGAGGGAGGAGGGTGGAGATTGGGTAGGGCATGAAAAAGACACGCGGGGTGGAGAGGGAGGAGGGAGATAAGGCAACAGTTAAAAAACGGCCCATAGAAGGTCCACATCAGCAAAACCAGCGTCACCTGCCTCCCACGCCCGCCATGCCCAGGTCACAAGAATGGGCGGAAGTCACGCTCCTCCACGAGGCTGATGGCCGGGTTCTTCAGCTCCTCTTCCGACTTGGCCATCTTGTAGCCCAGCTGAGCCAGCACCTGCTGGCAGGCGTTCTGGGCAAAGGCCACGATGTCATAGGAGAGGCGGAAGCGCCACTTCTCAGCCGTGGCTGCAGAGTTGCGCACCGTGCCAAATTTGTGCTTGCCCAAAGTGGGGTCGCCCCGCGTATTGTTCTGGATCCAGCGCGCCACATGACCATCTAGGGGGATACCTAGGAATTCGTAGATCTCTTCTGTCTTCTTCATTGGGTTTCTGGCCAGGTCCTCATAACGTACCAGCATGTACTTGCCCTTGAGCCAGGAGGGCCGCATGAGGCCGGTGGACACTGAGCTGGAGAAATCCTCACACACAGTGGTCAGCTGTGTCACGTCCAGGTTGTAGGGCTTCCTCCCCGTGCCGTACCAAAGCCGCCAGAGTCGGTAGGTGTCCCGGAAGGTCTCGCTCCGAGAAGCCAAGATGCCACGAGGGTCTCTCACCAGCTGGATGACCTTGAGGTTCAACCTGGGGTCTTCCACCAGGGCCCGCAAGTCGTTCACTTCAGGCACCCGCACGGTCTTGATGGCCACATGGCTGCGCTCTCGACAGGCCTCAGCTGCCAAGGTCAGGTTCAGCAGGCCGCACTTGCGCACGCAGTCCCCTTCCTCCAGAATCAGGTCGGGGGACCCTGGAGGGTCGCACACTGGACGGGAGCAGAGGACCCTGCTGGCTCCTCGGCGGAAGACCCTGTCGGTGGTGTGGTTCACGGGAGGTGGTTTGATGTAATTCTCCAGAAAGTAGAGATCGCAGTCATAAAGGCTCCTCAGCAGGTCCCGGCTGGCGCCCAGCATGACCCTGCGGTCTGCGGGGCTCTTGCCCTGGGTGAAGCGGGGAATGAGTGTGTTCTGGACGTGGTAGAGGGGCTCAAACAGGTAGAAGACGTCCATGTGCTGGTTGAAGAGCTGGCCCACGAAGGAGGAGCCGCTGCGTGTGGTGGCCAGGATGAGCACATGGGTCTTCCTGGAGAGGTTATAGGAGAAGGTGGGGCCCTCCTCACAGGGCCGCTCTGCTAGCCCAGTCTCTGTCAGCCCAGGGCAGGTGTGGAAAGATTTGGCAGTGAACGTGCGGATGGCTGTGTACTGGATGGCAATGGAGGCCAGGGCAAGGAGGAGGACAGCCTTCCAGGAACATTGCATGGCTGGGCACCGTCATGGGGCTGCTGCTCCAAGGCACGGGGTCTGTGGACAGAGGACAGCCAAGGATTTAATGCTTCGCACAGCCAAGAGCCGCCATGGGATCCAAGAGAACACCCAGCCCCTGCCCAGTGTTCATATAGCCCCTAGGACCTACAAAGCCTGCATTGGGCTGTCGTTTTCTTGGTGTCTCCTGGGAGCTTCAGAGAGCTAAACAGACAGACTCCTTATGCCCCAGGAGCTAAGTGAATTGTGGTTGCAAAGGCCTCCTATGGTGAGCTCTGGTTTCCCTAGCCCAGCCTACTTACTATGTCAAAGCCTAACTCCAGCAATTTCCATACTTTGGGGGGAGGGGGTGCGGGGTTGGTTCATGCCGCACCCTGACTTCTGCCAGCATCTCCTGGATTATGGACATCTTCTAACCACACAGGCTGATGCCCACCTTCCCAGACAATGGTCTTTCTCTCCATCATCTATCTACCCTTAGAGGAAGGATACACACCAGATTCCTCCCCCCAAATACAAGTCCTGGAGAGCAGGGGCCCCTGTGCCCCCAGAATTCTGAGTTGACAACAGAAGCCAGCTGGGCCAGGAACTGTGCACATCGGGCCATGGCCTTTTTATCTTGCAAATGAGGGAGCCCAGCTACCTCCAAATAAGGACCACTATGCACCTGGAACAAGGGCAGGTCCCAGAGGCTGCTGGGATGTATCTCTGCCCAGAACTCAGGGCTTGTTTCTGGCTGCAAGGTAGTAATGTTCGGGGCCCAGAGAAACAGTCTCTGGCTTCTCCAAGCCACTCCTTCATCTCTTTGGTCCACAAAAGGGAGGGTCGGGAGGAGCCACAGGAACATAGAAAAGGGAAGCCTATGCCATGGGCTCACAGCATGCCCCAAGCATCTTGCAAGGTGATCCAACAGATGCTGCCTCAGCCACCAGGTCCTGAGAAATGCCAGAGCTGCTCACAGACCCAGTGCCAAGGAGCTCAACACTTAGCAAAGGAGGACTGCTGTGCAGTGGAGACGGCAGCCAGTGTCTCAGGCCTAGCCTGGCAGTCCAGTGATCTGCACCTCAGCCCTGTGGCTGCGGAGACAGTGGACAGGATGGGCTTGGGTTCCAGTACGCCTCTCCTTGCCCTTCTTCTGTGCCCTACAGTCTGCAACCCAGGCCATGAAACATGACTTTCCCTGCTCCCCGAATTGACTGCTGACTCGGGGCTCCAGCTGATCTAACACGACCCCTGAGCCACGACACCCTGACTTCCAAACTGCAGCCTCTTTCACCCACCCCCACCCACCCCTAACAAGCCATGATCCCTCTGCCCATTCTGGGGCTCCTGTGGGCAGGAGCTGGCCAGCATGCATGTCTACGTGTCTGAGGCGGCAGGTTCAGATGGATTCTTATTAGAAATGAATGGAAACAATCCTGACCTTCTAGAATTCAACCGGTCCTGTGATGCAGGCCGATCACCCCAGGCCTTCAGGTCGAGAAGGTCGTTCCAAAGGAACAGCTGGGGACAGGGGTCTTCTTCCAACCATATGCAGCACACACAGCAGCTACCTGAAAGCCAAAGGCACACTTGACCAAGTCCAAGTAAAACACCTAAGCCAGGACAACTTTAGTTAACTCCTACTGAGCGCTCACTAAGGCTTTTACCCAAATGAACAGATTTGCTCTGTAAGCAGGTATCACGCACAACAGTTAGCAGCGTCTGCTGCGGCCTAAGATCTGCTTTAAACCACCACCACCACCACCACCACCACCACCACCCCGGAACCTGTCTACTTTCCCTCCGAGACACAACTGTGTGCCTCATACTTTGGCACACTTGGCCTTCAAACATGCACCAGGTTCTGTCCAGGCCCATCCACAAATCAGCACGGGAGGGGCCAGAATAGAAGGGTTAAGTTGATGGGTTCTGAGACTTGGAATGCATGTTCTCCTTTCTGCCCTCAGGTCTGTTTGTTGGTTGGCCCATGGCTGGTGGGTAAGTAAACTTGTATCCTTTCTGTATATCCTTCCCACAATCTGCTGTGTGTCCTGACACCTGTAGGGGACATGTAAGTGTACTCCATTTCCCAAGCAAACAGAGTTGCCATTTTGGGTACCCTGTCACCCCTAACAAACTGCTCTGGGAGGGCGGGGGCCCACTCCTGTTGCTCGAATTGAGAATTTAAAGACTGTTCTATGGCTCACAAGTGGGAAAGAGCAAGTGCTTGAGTCCTTCTGCATCAGAGTCAGGCCACTGTTCTAATCCCTTCACCGCTGGCTCGCTGTCTCAAGGAAAGAAAGCAGAGCTGTAAGCTTCACTTGCCTGTGGAAAAGCACAGGGCCTGGGGCCAAACTGGTCATCCCTACTGAGGCTTGAGATCTGGGAGCCCTATTTAAAATGTGAAACACCATATCATGTGTAGGAATTGGCACAAGGTCACCACCAAGAGGCAATTAATAGAGGAAGCCTTACAAGTCCAGATTCTTGGGACCCTCTCAGTGTGATCTAAGTCACAATCTAGACCACACCCATCCTAGTCCCTGTGGCAGAGGGCTCTGCCCGTGGAGGGAAGGCTGAGGGTAGCGGGAGCCCTCTATCTTGAGTCCTAGCCAGTTGCCTCAGGAAATACCACGTCCTTTCTTCAGTAGTGACATCACTCAACTCAGCTGTGTTTCTTCACGGGCATCTACCGGAGGTCTGGACCAAAAGACACTGACCAAAAACTACAGATGAAATGATACCAAGGATAAAGTGGCACTCCCGAGGGACTCCTACTCTCCCTGAGTGAGTACCCACCCTCAGGCACGCCCACTGCCCCCACCTCCAACCTCAAGGCTATGAGGTCACCAACTCACAACCAAAGCTACAGCAGCTTTTCCAAGTTCATGCCCCAGGTAAGGCGAGATCCCAGGCTATGTGCTCTGAAAGCCATGTTCAAATCCACTTGTTGGATCTGATCCAGTCCCACCCCTATTCCATTCCCTTTGGTTTGCATCAAGACAGGTTCCCTTGGCCCTTTCCACTCCCACCCTGCAACGCCAGTCAAAAGATAGAATACACGCCGAGTTTTCTTCAGAGGACAGCCTTGCCTCCTGCCCAGGAGGGGACGGACGGTTCAAGCTTGTTACCCCAATTTTCCTTCCCAACTCATTTGGAGGGACCCAAAGCCAGGTCTAAGAGCTGAGGTCCTGCTCAAAGCCATAGCTCCCTATGGTGAAGAGACTCCTCTTCCCAAGGAACAGCGTAGGCACTGGGAGCACAAGCTTGAGGCCCAGCTGAGGGCCATGTACCCGCCTTCCAGGAGGGCAAAGCCAGAGCACGAGAACAGGAGGGAGGATGTTAGAGCCCCCTGAAAGTGCTCTGCTATCCTGCCAGCCTGGCACAGTCAAGTCCAGAGCTGGCCAAAGGTCCTTGGTATGCTGGAGGCATCTGTCCTGAAAACCAAAGGCCCTGGGACCAGGTCCTGTTGTTCCCAGGCAAGCCCTGGCCTCTGTGAGAGATATTTCTCAATAGCCCGGCCCTACAAGCCAGACTTGGAGACCACATCCCCTCCTGGGTTTCCAGTAGCTTCTGGCATGGCCTCCCTCATTGGTGTATCAGACCTTGAGCACAGGAGCCCAGAATCCCACCTTCTTGTCAGAAGACGGAGGACCTGGTGACCAGCCAAGAGACAGCTCAGATTGCAGAGTTGTGGTCAGGTTGAGAAGGGAGAATGCTGCACAGGGAAGCTCTAATTTGCAGCTCAGGGGTCAAGCCTGCCAGTCAAAGGGCACACCTCTGGCATAGCACCAGCTGGGTCTGCGCTTCACTTCCCCATCTGTAAAGGTGGCCTAAGCAGAGCGCTGGTTGTAACTGACTCAAAGCATTTATTCATGCCCAACATTAGGACAAGACTCTGCCTTGTGTTTGACAAGTGACGCCTGGCACCAGCACCGCGGCCTACAGCTCAACTGTTTATGTTCTGGGAGCCTCGCCTAGATTTCTGGACTTTGCTTTTTGTCTTAGGGAAGCACCTCAGGACGAATTACCCATACCTTAAGACTCTGCTCTAACAGAGAGGGACCTCTGTAGGCTTTGCCCACCACTCCCCCAAAGCACTTACTCAGCCAGAATTTTCTGTGCTAGGCTGATGTGATGGTATTACTGCTTCCCTCTAGTGGCCATAACTGGTAGTACATCCTGCTAGCTCTATCTTTTTGCTGTGTCCAGAATTCAGACCTAATGGGAAGCCCAAAGGTGCCGTGATGGATGGAGGTGTGATGTTACAGATTGCAGTGAAGTGTGATGATGGCATCTCCATCTAGGTTCTGGATTCTGATCCGTGGAGATACTATTCCTCATCCACACACCAAGAGGCGAGCAACAATAGGCAGTCCGACCCACGCCCGGCCCTCACACTGCCCAGACTGGAGAAGCAGTGTGGAAAAGAACACCACTGGCAGGAGTGGCCTGCAGCTTTCTGCCTGTCTCTAGATGACTGGGCCAAGCCCCATAGCTCTTAGTACCTGGGGTTTTCCTCAGGTCCAGTAACAAGGACCTCTCTGCCTGAGGGAGGACCCACCCCATGTCCAGGGCCAGCTGAGGCCAAGTTCACACCAAACAGAATCCCCTATGGACTGTGAAAAAATTCAAGTCACTCTCCAGAAGAAATAGTGCTCGGTGTCTCTGCTCTCCCCCTACCAACCAGCAGCCCCAGCCCTGATTGCCTTTCTGAGACTAACACCATGGGCCCTAGGATCCAAGGGCTTTGCCCTTAGCTGAGTCCCCCTTCCCACCCTATGGGGATCTTGGAGATCCACAGTGAGTCTGTTTACCTTCCCTGTTCCACAGGCTCCTTGGAGACACCATCCACCTTCCCAGAAAATGCCACCTGTGCCCAGCTTTGCACGCATAATTTGCAAGTGTTTGGGAGCTCCTGAAGCCAGGGCATGGGCTTCTGCTCCACTGAGCATCCTGGGGCTGTCCTTTTAACTGATTAAGGCAAAGGGTGCTCACAAAAGCAAGCCAAAAAAAAAAAAAACAAAGTCAAGAAAATTACAAAACATGTATGTCCAACTGTGCCATTTGGTTGGGGCACACAGTGCATGAACCACCCCTGGAGCCTTGTGCACTGTGCCAGTATATATGGCTGCCTGGGAAAAGAGGAACCAGGAGCCTACAAAGGAGTGAGCACAGGCTACGATAGGTTTACGATTATCTGTGGGAATACAGTGACCTCATCCCCACAGAAGAGCTGGAGAGGTGTCTGAGGACAGGGTTGATAACTGAAAATCATCCCCAGCACCTTGCAGATTCCTTCTTCACCCTGGTGACGCTGCCTATCTGCCCGTCCCTCCCCAACTTTCAACATATCTGGTTAAGACTTCCTTGTGTTCGAATTAAGCATTAGCGCTGCTTGGGTAGACGTGAGGCCCAGTGGATTGGCTGGACCTACAGCAAGCATTGGGCCTCAGAGGCCCAGAAGGCTCTGCAGGAAGTAGCTGAGGCTACGCCTAGACAAGTGGCATTTTCCCCCAAATGCTTTTGAAACAGCACAGAGAAGAGGACACAGGGAGCAAGGGAACATGAGCCTGAGTATCTGCTACCTGAACAAAGCCAGGACACTGGGTTCCAAGGCTCCGGGACACCACGCAGACATCCAAGCAGGGGGCAGAGGGCTTGGGCAGGGGAGAAGTTTAGCTGCAAGGTAACTTCAGGAGACAACATGTTTAAACCTGTTTAGCCAGCCCTGACCCACCATGGATGTTTGCTTAGTTAAGGCTGAAAAAGCAAAACAGCCAGGCAATTTTTTCCCCTTCCAAGGAAAATTAGGTGATGAAAATGAGGCAGAGAGAAAACAAGAGTGTGAACATCTGAAAGAAGGAGCCTTGTCAGTTAATAAATGCCAAGTAACTTGTGGGCTTATGAGTTAGAACTTCCTGGCAGCCAATGAGAAAAGGAAAATAACTTAGTTACATGCTTCACTAGATCTATGAGATAAAAATTAAAGCACGTGATTGAAAGACATCTGGCTAATAGGTGCTGGGATCACAAGATATCCCAAAAAGTCTCCAAAAGCCGCACAGTGCCATGAACCCATGATCCCACACCTAACAAAATCCAAGGACAAGTTCCCTAGGGCTGCATCTTGAAGTGCCCTTCAGAATATTGTACGGAGAACACAGAGTGACCTTGCAGAAATGGTGACCAGTCCAGGGGATAGTGGAGGCAAAGAGCTTCCCTTTAGTGCCACTTTAACCTCACTAAGGTCTATGGGTCTGTCCTGCAGGATCTGAACAACACAGGAAGGTGTTTTGTGCCCAGATTCTGGGGTCCTTAGGCAGAACCAGATCCTCTTTTGAGTATCCCCAGCAACAGGTCTTAAAGCCAGGCTTCTCAAAGCAGACCCAACCACACAAAGGGTCATGAGTCCTTCATCTTTTCATGGTAGGCAGAGCCGCCTAGCACGCTGAGATCTCCAGGCAGTCATGAGAGTTAGCACTGACACTTTCGGCTGTCTTGAGCCTCTCTGTAAAGTTGTCAAGGGTACTGGAGGAAAGACCTGCCGGGGAGGCTGGGTGGAGGCCTC